ACACCACAGACTGACTTTCTTGGACTTGGGTGCATTAAAATGATCATTTGTGCTTTAAGTGGTGGACACTGGTGTTGGGAATGGCCGGCCTTTATTACTGCTTCTGAACTTGACCCTAGTTTCCACCGGGGCAATCGTTTTCCCACATAGCCTGTAGTCTTGGTCAAACTCCTGTGTCCCCCTCACCAGGGAATGCAGGGATCCCTGGAGGCTCCTTCTGTAAACCCCTCCTCTGGGATCTGCCACAGCCAAGGGCTCAGCCACCAGACTGTCTTTCCCATGACTGTGGCTTTTGAACAGAGTAAAGCCCTGACACAAGAAACCATGTTCATCTGCTGTAGCCAGGAGTGTTGCGAGACCTGCTGCCTGCAAGGCTCCTTGGCTGCTGCTTCCAAGGCTGGTTTTTCAGGCTTCCTTTAGCACACCACAAACTTCAAATAAAATTGCTTAAATTGCCTGAGTCAATTTTTCCCCCTGCAACCAAAGATTAGTAGACACCCAGATTGGCAGCGCAAGGTCACAGACCTTAAAGGAAATTGGGAGCAATGGGTGAGTAGGTATTGGTTGCCTGGCTGAGACAAGACAGGAAACGGTTAACACTCTGTTCTAGTTATTGCTAAGAACAGAAAATACCCGAGTCTGCGTGATTTAAGGAGAACAGTGATCTCGTCTGTTCATGATTTGGAGGGCCAGGGGCTGCACCTGGTGAAAGTCTTGCTGACAGGTAACACGGAGGTGGGCAAGACAGAGCAAGCACAGAGCAGAGTGTGTGCTTCTGTTCTGGTCTCATTCCCTCTCCTTATAAATCCTCGGAAAACATGTAGGTTGGGTGTGTGTGCATAGGTGCCTAAAATCCCGAAAAGGGAATGGAAGAGAAGGGATCGTGATGTAGCTATGTCCCCAGGGGATGATTTCTCACTTTCGCTCTCTCTCCAACAAGTTCTTACACCCTATAAAAAAATAAAATAAAAGTCCTTAAGAAAAAAAGAAAGAAAATTATGAGTTGAGGGCCAGCCAGTGGCATGGTGGTTAAAGAAGCTAGATCTCACATGGCTGACTGTGTGGATCAAGTTCTGGACCCAGCAGCTTGAAAAACAACACCAGGCATGTGTGTAGATATGCCCAAAACTCCAAGAGGAAAATGTAGGAGATGGGATTGGTACATGACCCTTCTTCATGGGAGGTATTTTCTCACTTTCTTTCTCTCTCTCTCTCTAACAAGAACACACACCTTCTGGAAAATTAAAAACAATTATATATATATATTTTATTTTATTTATTTATTTTCATTTGACCAGAGAGGGACAGAGAGAAAGAGAGAAATCAAGCCACCAGGTTCAGGACCTGAACCACAGTTGACTGTATGGGAGTCCAGCGCCCTTAACCACCACGTCACCTGCTAGCTCCCCAAAATTCTTTTAAATGCACATTTGGGATTATAAAATATATTTACCGGGACCAGCAGTTAGCGTAATGGCTATGTCACTGAACTCCCATGTAGTCAACCATGGTTCGAGTCCCGAACCCGGTGGCTTAAACTCATGCCAGGCTCATGTGCATGTGTGCCCAAGATCCCGAGAGGAGAATGGAAGAGAAGGGATTATGGTATGGCCATCCCCCTTGGGGGATGATTTCTTGCTTTCTGTCTCTGTCTTTCTCGTGAGCACATGCGCCCTATAGCAAAAACCTCCCCTAAAATATAACATTCTTTTTTCTTTTTGGAGAGGTTTTTGCTATAGGTCATGTGCTCTTGCCACAAAGACAGAGGCAGAGTGACAGAAAGCAAGAAATCATCCCCCAGGGGCATGGCCACCCTGCAATCCCTTCTCCTCCATTCTCCTCTCGGGATCTTGGGCACACATGCACATGCAACCAGCATGAGTTTAAGCCACCGGATCCAAGACTTGAACCGCGGTCAACTACATGAGAGTTCAGTGACATAGCCATTATGCCATCTGCTGGTCCCCAAACATTCTATCTCAGCCTGGGCTCTGGTGGGGGTAAAAGTACTCTGATCCCTTCTGAAAGTTTGAAAACGTCATTGTGCTCTCACTTGTGAGGGTTCAAATGTGCACTACTGAAGTAGTCCAGAAATCACAAATTCAAAAAATTAACATAAAAAACAATCCATAAATCAATAGGTAACCTGGTAGTTAAGGTGGCTGGATTCCAAATGACTGACTGTGCAGATCAAGTCCTGGACCCAGTGGCTTGAACAACACACCAGGAACATGTGTGCACCTAAAATCCCAAGAGGAGAATGGAGGAGAAGCGACTGCAGTAACACTAACCCTAACCCTTCCCCTAACCCAGTGTGACAATTCCCCAAGTTTGGTGCTTTCTACTCTCTCCCTATGTCTCTCTCTGGCAAGTACATGAGTCTTGCTAAAAAAGAGAAAAGGAAGAAAACTTTAAAACTCTCTTCTGTTTCTTACCTTCCTTGGATGTAAGCTCCCTGATGACCATTCTTCTTTTACAATTTCCATTTGAAGGCAGTTATTGAGAGAATGGAGAAAAAGAAACTGGTTAGTTTTGCTTTCTCTGTTATCTTTTTAATATTACATAATCTTCCCCCAGAGACTTTCTGTTTTTGTTTGATGAACATGACCTTAAAACTATCCTTTTGGGACCATGATGGTTTAGGCAGCTCAATCCCACATGGCCAAATGTGCTGTTTGATTTGTGGACTCAGCCTCTTAGAAAATACACTGGGTGTGAGAGCATGCATGCTCAAAATCCCAAGAGGAGAATGGAGGAGAGAAGATTAGGACATGACCATCCCCCCTGAGGGGAACTTTCTCACTTTTGTTCTCTCACTGTCTCTCTCCAGTGAGCATATGCACCTTATGGCAAAATTAAAAAAAAAAAAATTTCTTCAATTTTTTTACTCTTTTTCACACCTCTAAACCATTTTGGATTTCACTTTTCCTGGTATGGTTATTCAAGGGGTACACTGTTCTCTAGCAGTTACACAAAAGTACACATCTCTCCATTGTCTTGCTGTTTTTTGTTTTGTTTTTTTCTTTTTTTCTCCCCAGTTCTCTCCCCTTTCTTTCTCCCTATTGAGAGAATCAAAGACAATAGTACTTAACCTGAGTTATTGGCACACCTAAACCTAAAAGACTTTGCAAGGAACACTGTTGGCAGGGATAATGTTATCTTTAAATTATCGGCTTTGTTCTTTTTCTCTAAAGTGATCTGCCTACAGAGATATTTTGCAAATTTTCCTTTCCTATCTACCCTTTCACATGAACACTCTTCTCAAGGAAGAAAAGGTAGAAGAGCACACTGGAAATTCTTTTATCCTATGTCTTCGTCTCAGGATGTAAAGTTCCCCATGTTACCAAGGAGATGATTTAAAATATTTTTTTTCTGGGATCAGCAGTTGGCATAATGACTACGTCACTGGACGCTCATGTAGTCGACCACAGTTTGAGTCCCAGACCCGGTGGCTTAAACTCATGCCGGGCACATGTGCGTGTGTGCCCAAGATCCCGAGAGGAGAATGGAGGAGAAGGGATTGCTGCGTGGCCATCCCTCCAGGGGGTGATTTCTTGCTTTTTGTCTCTCTGTCTCTCTGTGTCTTTCTGGTGAGTGCACACACCCTATAGCAAAAACCTCTCCAAAAAAGAAAATAAAAATAAAAATAATTTTTTTTTTCTGAAAGGCCTCTGTAAATTTTAACTCACCATTAGCGCATTTTGTCTTTCCCTGTCTAGTGCACATTTCTGTGAAGAATGAGGCATTGCCTAGGAAACTGTCCCACTGAGAAGTTCTGAATACATCACAGCACCCTGTGGTGGCAGGAGTGACGACACTTTCTCTTTATTGACTTGCTTCTATTTTCTCCATTTTTTTTTTTAAGAGAGATTTTTGCTATAGGGCACCTCTGCTCACCAGACAGAGAGAGATAGAAAGTGAGAAATCACCCCCCAGGATGGATAGCCATTCTGCAGTCTCTTCTCCTCCATTCTCCTCTCGGGATTTTGGGTACTCACGCACATGCACCTGGCATGAATTTTAAGCAAAACTTTAGTCCAGAACTCAAACCACAGTCGACGGTGTGGAAGTCAAGTGACTAACCATTACACCATCTGCTGGTTCGATATGCTTCTTTAAATATAATTATGGAATGTTGAGGAAGATACACGTGAAAGCAAATAAAGACAGTGTCTTTAAGAAATATAGAACAGAGTCCAGCAGATGGCATAATATTTATGTCACTGGACTCCCATATAGTCTACTGTGGTTTGAATCCCAGACCCCGTGGCTTAAAACTCACGCCGGGCACAAGTGTAAGCGAGCACATTTTTATTTTTTAATGGTTAATTCTAACTTTCATTCTTATACAATTTGCAGAACAGAATTGAAATGATTGCTATAGATTTTAATGTTGATAAGAACTGGACTATCATACAACTGAAATGCAGAGTGAGTTAAGCAACTACATGTAAAAAATGAAGTCACAAACATGATTTTTCTATACATTATTTTGCTCGAAGAAAATTATAATAAAGTCAGCAAGCAGTCACAGATGAAAGCAAATAAAGTAGATGGATTGGATAGTTAAGACGAGAAACAAAAATATCTGTTTAGAGTTAACCATGGACAGAGTGGTTTACTTTGCGGCCAGAAGAGACATGGGGCAGTGGGTGGAGCTGCTGGGACGGAGGGTGCTCAGCAGCATTTGCTGTTCCAGCCCGTCAGGCTGCCTCCACTGCTCAGGTCTGCATTTTCACTGTTGGGCTCGTTTACAAGGGTCTTTTGAAGGATATCCTTGGTTAATGTGAGGAACGCCTTTTCGATGTTTAATTTGTTTTTGCACTAATCTCAAAAAATCTAGTATCATGTTCCTTTGTGATCTGTTCTCCTTTTCTTTTAGGTACAACTTTTTTATCATCCATATCACACTTGTTGCTTACTCACATTCTTTCCACATCTTCTTCGGCATGGTTACCTATGTTTCTAAGCCATTTGCTGATGTTTTCAAAACTTTTACCAAAAAATAGGAACGCTGCATGAATTTGCATGTCATCTTTGCACAGGGGCCGTGCTAATCTTCTCTGTATCATTCCAATTTTAGTTTATGTGCTGAAGAAACAAGCACTAATTTTATTTATTGTTATTATTACTTTTTTTAATGTGACCAATGAGAGACACAGAGAGAGAGAGAGAAAGCAAGTCACCTGGCCCGGGACTCAAACTATAGTTGGCCATGTGGGAGTCCAGCACCTTAACTACCATGCCACCTGCCAGCCCCCATTTCCCCAGTCTTTAATCTTCTTCTCTTTGTGCTCACTCCATTTGTAATTTCATCTGGTCTCTTGGTTTTGAATTTCCATCTTTTTGCTAATGATTCCCCAATTTATATTTCCAGTGCCTGCCTACTCACTACAGAACTCCAGACCCATATATTCAACACTCCATTAGATATTTCCACTTGATTGGTGGTAGAATCTCAAACACATTCTCTCCAAACCGAATTCCCATTCTCTCTTTCCAAACCTGCTCCACCTTCACCTGGTTTGCTAAAATAGACCCCTGTTTTCTATCTTTGCTTGTATCTTTTGTTCCTAAAACTATTTATATCCTAGCAGTCAGAGTGATTCTTCTTTTTTTTTTTTTTTGAGAGATTTTTCACTGTAGGGCGCGTGCGCTCGCCAGACAGACAGAGAGAGACATAGAGACAGAAAGCGAGAAATCACCCCCCAGGGGGGATGGTCACGCCGCAATCCCTTCTCCTCCATTCTCCTCTCGGGATCTTGGGCACGCACGCACACGCGCCCGGCGTGAGTTTTAAGCCACCGGGTCCGGGACACGAACCGCGGTCGACTACGTGGGAGTCCAGCGACATAGCCATTACGCTAACTGCTGGTTCCCCAGAGTGATTCTTCTAAAAGAGAATCAAATCCTATTATTGTTTCACTTAAAATCCTTCAATACATCTCCCACTGTATACAAGACAACTTTTTTAAAGTTGTGTAGACATGCATTCATATACATACCCATTCATTTTGTTTGTTTTTTGAGAGATTTTTGCTATAGGGTGCATGCACTCACTGGAGAAACAGAGAAAGACAGAGAGACAGAAAGTGAGAAATCACTTTCCACTGGGGATGGACATATCACAATTCTTTCTCTATTCTTTTCAGGATTTGGGGCACACATGCACACATGCTTGGTGTGTTTCAAGCTGCCAGGTCCGGGACTTGAATTTGGTTAATCATGTAAGAGTCCAGCACCTTAACCAATATGCCACCTGCTGGCCCCATAGGTATTAATTTTTAATGCATCAAATTGTTTCCAGTGACTATCTTAGGGTATTATTATTACAGATAGTGTTTAAAAATATTTGCCTTTTGACCCAGTGATATTACTTCCAGGAATCTATCTATAGGAAATAATCAGGATGTGCCCAAAGATTTAAGTTCAAGGATGTTAATCATAATAATATTTATAAACAGCAAAAATTGAGAATGGTGAGGACCAGCAGGTGGAGTGGTGGTTAAGGTTCTGGACACTCCCACATGGCTGACCATGGTTCAAGTCCTGGACCTGGTGATTTGCTTTACTCAATTTCCCTCCCCCCCCCAGTAAAATTAAAACATAAATGAATGAATAAATAAAAAATAAAATAATTCTTTAAAAAAAATTGAAAATGGCATCAGTGAGATGGTTGGAGTGATGACATTTTCCTTAACCAATTTGCCTCTCTCAGCCTTAAATATAATTACAGATTTTCAACATCAGGAAACTAATAACTAGATTACAGTTATTTTACAAGCTGTGGGACCAGCAAATGGCATAATGGTTTCGTTGCTGGACTCCCACGTAGTAGACTACAGTTCAAATCCTGGACCTGGTGGCTTGAAACTCATGCCAGGCACGTGTGTGCCCGTATCCAAAATCCCACGAGGAGA